GAAGGGCTTTTACTTTGCATTTTATAAACTGATGGGAAAAACTTTATCCTAGAATTTTTATATTTAAATGTTTTCCTTAATTATAGAACTACTTTATGTTTATTATGAAATATTTGGAAAATGTAGATAGGCATGAAATAAATTTTTTAAATTACTTGTAGTCTTAATTTTATGGTATTTTATTTGACTAGATATATTCACAGGGTTCCAAAAAAGTAAACAGTGTCAACAAACACAAGCCAGCACATCCAGAGGCTGCCTGCCCCCTGCCTTCTTCAGGGAGTCCCCTTGGTTAGATTCTCGCTCACTCTCTAAATTTCCCCAGCTTCTGGCAATCAGTACCTGGGTTCTTTTCTCTGTGGATTTGCCTGCTCTGGACATGTCATAAAAATGGCCTTTCATGTCTGGCTTCTTTCACGTGGTGTGATCTCAAGACTCAGGCTGCATGTGTGTGTGCACCTTCACATGGATCAGTGAAAGCATTCCCTGCATTTGATGTCTCTGTTTACTGGTTGATGAACATTTGGGTTCTTTCCAGTTTGAAGCTACTAGGAATAATGCTGCTCTCAACATTCAGGGACAGCTTCCTGTGTGGGCAGATGTTTCCAGCTCTCTCAGGGAGATAACTGAGAGTGCCTGTGCTAGGTCACGGGGATGCATGTTCAGCCTTCCCAGTTCCCCTAAGCTCTTTATGATCCTGCTTGAATGGGAGTTCCAAACCCCACTCCCTTAACAAACCTTACTCTCCATTATTTTTTATTGTGGACATCCTGAATTATGAAGTAGAATCTCATTGTGGTTTTGATTTGCTTTTCCCTGATGGCTACTGATGTTGAGCATCTTTTAATGTGTTTATGTAGGCCATTTATATATCTTTTTGGAGACACATCTTCTCAGATTCTTTGCCCATTTAAAAAAAAAGTAGCTCTCATGAGATAGAACTCAGACACTATACAAGTCATCCATTAAAATTGTATAACACAATAGTTTAGTTCATTCATATAATTGTGCAGCTATCTCTGCAGTAAATTTTCATGACCACCCCCCAAAAAAATCCCCAGCCCTTGGCATCTCCCCCCAACCCTCCACCAGACCTGGGCCATTGTTCATCCACATCTATATCTATGGAGTTGCCCAGCTGGACGTTTCATGTATGCACTGTGTGGCTTTTCCTGTCTGTTTTCTGTAACTTAGCATACTCTTTTCAAGGTTCATCCTTCTTTTCTTTTCTTTCCTTTTGAAGCATATTTTTTTCTGTTGTGTAAAAATTTATAACATAAACTTTGCCATTTTAACCATTTTAAGTGTACAATTCGGTGATCTTAATTATATTCACAATTCCCTGTTGCCACTTTCCCATCAATATCCAAACAGAAATTGTAAGAATAAAGCAGCCACTCCCAGCCCCCTTTCTCTCTGACCTACTTTGTTTCCATGAAGTTGCCTGTTGAATCAGACAATATTTCTCCTTCTGGCTTTTTTTGTGAAGCACAATGTCTTTGAGGGTCATCTATGTCATAGCATGCATCAGACCTTTGTTCCTATCTATGGATGAATCATATTTCATTGTCTTCCACACTCATTTTGTTCATCCGTCCATTGATGGGCTTGGATCGTTTCCACTTTGGGGCTATTGTGAACAATGCTGCTATCAACATTGGTCTACACGTACTCTTGTTTGCCCACTGGTTACCCTTCCTGGTGCTCCTCCTTCCTTCCTGCAGATCACTTCCTCCTCTGTTTGAAGGGTTTCTGTTTTCCTACAGTACATCCACTCTGGATGAATTCTTGCAGCTTTTCCATATCTGTAAAAGTCCTATTTTTCCTTCATCTCATAAACATATTTCCACTGGCCAGGTGCAGTGGCACATGCCTGTAAACCCAGCCTCTTAGTAGGCTGAGGCAGGAGGATCACAAGTTCAAAGCCAGCCTCAGCAAAAGCAAGGCACTAAGCACTCAGTGAGACCCTGTCTCTAAATAAAATACAAAATAGGGCTGGCTCAATGATCAAGTGCCCCTGGGTTCAGTACACAGTACCCCCAAAATAATAATTTGATTATGTTGTTCCTTTCTGTAGCTTTCTTTGTGTTTCTTGTGCTTATGGTTCATTGAGCTTCTTGGAGCTATGGGTCTATAGTTTTCAGCAAATTTGAAAAATTTCTGGCCATTATTTCTTTGAAAATTCTTTCTGTTCCTCCCTCTCTTTCTTCTCCTTTAGGAACTCCAATGCACTGTCAGATCCCACAGCTTGTGGATGCACTGTTAAATTTTGTTGATCTTTTTCACTCTGTTTAATATTGAATAGTTTCTATGCTATGTCTTTCTTTAAATTCACTAATCTTTCCTTCTGCAATGTAATCTTCCATTCAGTGTATTTATTCATCTCAGGTGTTATAATTTTCATTCTTAGATGTTTAGTTTAGTTTTAAATTTGTGTTCCATGTTTCTCCTTAATATATGCAGTTTTTCTTCTTGTTTCTGGCACATACAGAAAATAGTAATATTAACTTTTTTCTTTTCTTTCTTTTTTTTTTGTATAGGAGTTTGAACTCAGAGCACTCTCCCACTGAGATATGTATCCAGACATTTTTATTTATTTCTTATTTTGAAACAGGGTCTCGCTAAATTGCTGAGGCTGGCCTCAAACTGATAATCTTCCTGCCTCAGTCTCTGGAGTTGCTGGGATTACAGGAACTCTAATGTAATCCTGAGTACAGGATTACACTGTACTCAGCTAGGCTAATGCTAATTCTTTTAAGAGCTCTTATCTACTAATTCTTCACCTATGTAATTTCTGTGTCGTTTGCAATTGTTTGATTTTTCTCCTTATTATAGGTGTTCCAAAAGTCCTGGCTCCATCTCTTCAATCTAGAGATTGTTCTCTGCTTGGGTTCCTTGTCTGCAGACCAAGGGATGGAAACTGTCCTGTAATAAGCTGGGGCCATCTCAGGACTTGCCGGTTTTTCTCCTGTCTCTCAGAGATTATTGTTGCCTGATGTTCACTGTCTTCAGAATTGTATTTTGTGTCCTCCCCACCTTGTTGTTTCAGGCCCTATTTCTCTATTTTGTCTGACAGCAGAAGTTATTTTCATTTTTAAAAAATGGCTATATAGTATTACATGTGTGAATTTTTCATAGTCTTAGGTCTTAGAGATGCACATGTGTGTGGTTTCCAGTAAATGTTACTAAAAATAACGCTGCACTTAATATACCTGTACTCAAGCATTTACATGTGGGTGGGTTACCCAGCAGGACACATTTCCATAAACCATAAACCATAAATCTGGTATCTGAGGATCTTGGTTCTATAGGTGGCATTGCCCAGGGCCCTCTCATGGGCTTGCACCACTCTACACACTGTATCATTTATGAGAATGCCTCAGCAGAGTGAGTTGTCAAAGTTTTGGAGTTTTGCCACTCTGGTGAGTTATGCTGTTAACATTTAGCGTCTGTTCTTCAGTTTCTTCCTGTGTGTACATGCATGGACATGTGCACACTCCTGAAGACTTCTGTGTTGAGGGCCACAGTCGGGATGACGCATGGCATTTTGCCAGAAGGGAGTGGGTAAGAGGTGAAGCCAGCGAGCCATTGAGATGATGATGGTTATGTTAAGCTATGTATTCAATTGTATATAGACCTTTACTGTCCCGCAATAGGGAGGCTCTTGCTGCCTCGGTTGCGGCTACTTTGGAGTTCCCGTGAAGTTCTCCTGGATCAGAGAGTTGGGGCGGAGCCGGGTGGAGAGCTAAGAGAGTTCCCAGGGAGTGTGCGGGAGTGCTGGTGGAGTTCAGGCAATAAAGTTTCCTGTTTGAACATACAAGTGCTTTGTGTCAGCTCAGTGATTTGTGCCCAGCCAGACCGCAGCACTTCTGTTCACCAGTCCTCAGCCTTATCTGCCTTTCCTGCCTTCTCCCTTACACAGCATCATCAACTAGTAGGCCACACAGCCATGGCAGAGCTAATGAATGATGACCATGATTCATAACTTTGTTTCCAGTCCTCTTTCTCCTCTCTGCAGTCATTGTGTGCTGAACAGTTTGACTTTCTGCCTTCTGGAGGACTCACTTGATTTTGAACATCATTTATCTTTGAAAGGTATGTAGAGCAGGCTGTGCCCTCTCTGTATTACTCCACAATGTATAGAATAGCAATTTTCAGGCTTTGCCTAAAGCTTTGTTACTTCATTTTGTAAAGCCGTAGTTTGCCATAAGCTGCTCAATTTTGAGTGGAAGGACTACACACCCTCTCTGTACAAGTAGACAACCTCCATATGCTGGGTGTAGTCCTAACACAAGAATTGATAAGTAAATTAATCATGCTAATAATGATTACCCAAGAACTTGTCAAATCAATCAGAAGCACACGGCTACATAGAAGCATGTGGATACATGGGCGCATCAAACTCCTACTGGAAAACCAGGCCCACAAGCTTGTCAAAGACACCAGACTACCAAATGATGCCTCCTCACTTGAGACCCACAAAAAGAGAGGCACCCTGACCCTGTCACCCAGTCACTCCTTGTCATGAGCTCAGGAAAATTACCATAGCAACCAATTCTGAATTACTGTCCTTGGGCTTCAGCAGAGTGGTTTCTTCTGCCTGTGAGGCTCACACAGCCCACTCCAAGCTGCCATCTCAAGCTGACACTCCAATATGACACTAATACTGCTGCCTTCTGGATCTTGGCTTAGACTAAGTTCTGTGCTTTGTCAGCTCTGGGCCCTCAACAAGTCCTTTGGCTGGTTCCTGGTCTTACCTGACACCTACAGTCAGTCTCATTCATAGCTGCTCTCTGTCTGCCTCTCAGTCAGCCTTCTAATACCATGTACTTGCCTTAACCGTTTCTTAGCCTTTTGTTAATCTACATGTATGACTGTGTGAAGTGTGATGTGTGACTTCGAGTGTTACAGATATTAGAAATTAAGATTGGAACAAATCAATCTGATTTCCTGGTTAATGAATACCAGGTGCCCACAAGTATGCGATGAACTGCTGCTGATGAAAGTGGAGTATCCTGTGAGTTTATTGTTATTCCATAAATTCTGACATTGCAGAAAGACACAAATGAGTTTGTCTCTGTTGATGACACAGCACACTTACCACAAAGGGATCCCCATGGGCCCAAGTTAGAGGTTATAGTCCCAACATTTTGATTATCGCTTTTAGATGGCTGGTTTGTGATTCTTTGCGTTGCCTTCCTAGGAGTTAGAGATGTGTTGGGGCATCTTCGCGGACCGCCACCATGTCAGCCAAAGGTACTGAGTCGTACGTGGCAAATGACAGCGAATGCTAAGAGGACAAAGACGACACGGAGCCCTCAGTGGAAAAAGTCCTTTCACCCACGGCCCCAGCAGCCTTTGCACTTCTTTCTTGCCCTCCCTACCCCCTCCGGTGCCCGCCTTCTCCCTGCCCGCGACCCCAGCCTAAAGGTCCAGCCCTCACGTCCTACCTCCCGCCACGGCCCAGCCCCTTAGGGCCAGCTTTCCAAAACCCCTGTAGACAGGCCCCGCCTCCTGCACGCCAGCCTACGTCCTCAGACCCCGTCTCTCGCCACGCCCCTGCCCTTGGGTCTCGCCCTCCACGCTCCTCCCTCTGCCCCTCCTCCTATCACGCTCTCCACGC